AAATAAAATGTCACTAGATACCATGCGCGACTCACGCTGATACCATAAATAAGTATTCAAACGCCCCCAATTTCATATCACGTGTAGGAATTTCACAGACGTTAGGAGAACTTCGTCATTTCCTTCCACATTACCGTTGCCAATGACATTGTTGCCTTCGTTCTTGTTACGTAGTATTGACATGAATTTGACAATGAACAAAATTTTCAAATGATTTGAGTGATATACTATTTGACTTCGGCGTTTTAGTATTAATGTAAAGTATTCACTTTCTTGAATTTATTTTTGATATTACAAAAATATAGGTAACCTTGTGATAAATTTCTATAGAAAGAATTGTTCTATATTAGAAAATTTTAGAAGCGTTAAGCTATCTGTACAAATTCGTTAGGTTGACTAGCGCCTTGGGTGGGCATATTTAGACAATAAATTCAAATGAGGTTCAGGGATGGGATGGGATTGAGCTGGTATTTGTACTCCCGTACGTCTCTCAATATAATATATCTACGGATTTTATAATAGGATATCCCACATTATTGCTCGACGAAGACAAAATACAATTTCTAAATATCTCTTTGATTGTCAATGAGTACAACCCGCATTAACTCAGACCCTTATGTTATTCTTCATTACTTTAATGTTTCATCGGCAATATTCCCCCGCGCCATGCTAATGGCTCAAAAATTGCACTAATATATTATTAACATTATTGCTGATTGTGAATATTTTTGTCCTTTTGCAGAGTAAGCAGCAGTCGCCGAAGCAGCAGAAGCAGCAGCAGCGAGTGCCGTCGCCGGCCGCCGGCATGAACCTGCAGGTGTCGGGCGCGGGCCCGCTGCGGCTGGCGGGCGTCAAGGCGCCCTCTTCCATCCCCGGGCTGCGGCCCATGCACGAGGCGGAGCCGCAGGTGCGTGCCTCCCCCCACCGTCCCTCGCCAATTACGAGCCATCGATACAGAAACACGCCCACGCCGATTACATCGCCGTAATGGTCTGGAACGGCTGGAGCCGACTGGCGCGCGTCGGCTCCTACCGCCACTCCCCGCTGCAACCACCGCGCTTAGGTTCCGTCCAAGCAGACTTCATTCGAATGATCGATGGTTGCGGTTGATGTACGAGCGTAACCTTGGGCGAGGGAGATTGTTCGTGATGCCCTCCGTGAATGCACGGTCTGTAAATAACACGTGATACACGCTAAATTATAAGGTACTTGCGGTAATTTAAATTTATTTCAATGTTCTACCGTGAGGTCCTACCGCAGTTATTTTCAAAGGGATAATTTGTACATATTTCTTTGTCAGTTGATGACGTTTCTCCAAATTCATGTTCGGTGAGTCTGAATAGGGTAATGCCTTAGGTCAGGGAACCTTTTTCATTGACAGAGGTATTAAATGCGAAAAACTTGATTCGAAACGGCATAATTGTCCAGTTTGCCAGTATTATGCGTCTTAATATATGGAGCACGTAAGCACATATTTTCATGACTCTCGCAACCACATACTCTGCGAAATCTCTTTCTTCTCCTACGTTTACACGAATCGCGAAATTGTGATCGGTTCATTCCAAACTTATTAGTACTTAAATTATATTCAAATTCGGTTTCAAATATTACACAGGCACCCAAAACTAAACGGTGTGAGACCCAAGGGCTTGACACATAATTAATATTCTTGCTCGTCGACATCCATAGAGAAACATGTACCAAGCCTTGGATCTGACAACTTTTGGTTTCTGTCAAATACAAATATAAGACACAAGACACCACAATCTATTATTCACTTATGTTTTTCGTGAATTTAAAAAAGCAACTGAAGGGTGGTGGCGCAATTCTGGCTTCGGATTCGGATTCAGCGCGTCGACAAACATAGAGAAACAAGGGTCAAGTCTTTGGGGCTGACGATTTTAATTTTGTGTGCCTGTGTTATTAATTACGCAAAGATCAAAAAGCTAAGAAGAACATTTCTAAAACTTCTTCCTAAGTAGAAAAACACGCAAACAAACGTTACTTCAGGCATAAGTGTACACTTGAAAACTCTGTTCATTCCATTCGCATTCTGAGATCGTCAATGTAAAGTAAACGCTTCGCCATTTGCTAAGAGTGTAATGTCCTACCTTATATTTATGTACAGGAGGCCAAAACATCTTCATAATATAATGTAATAGATTGCTAACACTTACAATCTTACAAATATTTCCAAAATTTATTTTGAATTATCAGTTTCCGAGAGATACTTTCTGAATTTTGTTTTACCTCGGCTAAAAACGCTGTAATAATTCAAAATCTAACAAACTCTTGTGAAACAATTCTTCAAATTTTGCCCAAGAAGCGCACCGTCAGCAATATTAATGGTTTTCAGCTTCCTAAAAAATTGCAACTTTTAGAAAACACACATAAAATCAGTGGTAGGCTTCTGACTTCCGCCTTCGTAATGCCAGGTTTCATGAATAGTGGATCGAAAATGACCGGGATTTGTGAATTAAAAAATAGTTACTGCAATTTGGAATGAAAAATATTAATTTTTCAAACTTCCGTAGTATTTTTAGTCGTAATTTACGTATTTCGATGCGGCGGCGGCGATGGTGTAACAGCGTGTCGGATTGTTATACCCAAGCGCGAACAAACCCGATCGAAGCCGTGGATTTTTACGGGCGAAAAAAATTCTTCGTACGCCTTCCTTCGGAGGGGAAGTAAAGCCCGCTGTCCCATGTTAGATTTACTGCATGTAAAAGATCATCAAGCCTAAATGACTCCTCTGAGCTTAATTCAAAAATCGGATGTTTCGTCTCCCGAAGGATACCTCCTTTCTCCGCTAGTGGGTGAAAGGAGCGTAGCGAAATTTGCGTAGTCAGGCGGAAGAGCGGGCCTGATGGCCCGAGCCTCGTCACATAAAATAAGGTATCATTTCAATTCAATTCAATTCACTATCTCTGACTACCGTGCCTCTTGATTTTCCTATGAATTGCGTAATCGTTTCATCTCTTTCGCATCGCGATCACTTAACGCCAACATCTTCCACACACAAAGACAGCGACCGCAAAATCGAACCACTTGAGAGTCTCTCGAACCGCGTACGACCGAGTACGACCTGCCTGCCAACCGTGTCCGGTATGCGAAGTGCCATTTATACGGAAGCGGCAACCGGGCGCAGCGCGGCGCGGCGCACTGCGGCAGAAGTACGCATTACCTCCCGCGCGCGCGCGGAGGAGGCGCCCTCCGATTAGCCGGCGATTAGCAAACGCCGCGCCTCGGAAGAAGTCGACCGCGGAGGGAGCAGCGCTTTCGCGCGGCCTCGGAATGAGGAAGCGAACCCACCCGGCTGCCGCCGCGCCGCGCCGCGCCGCGCCGCGCCTCGCCGCTCTGACAGTAAAGTTGCGGCTTTCTGCTTATACGCGCGTTGGAGTCTCCGACGATTTATGAGACTTTCGCAAGCGCGCGAAATGATTGCGGCACGGCGTTTACGATAGGCAATTGCTAGAAATGGGGAGTAAGAAATGAAGCAGAGGTTTTCAAAGCAGAAGCAGAAAGTGGCGTAGATATGCACCCGGAATTTTTGTTTGATGAACTCAAAATTCAAAGAGGATAAACACGTAAAATGTTTTAATTTCTTAAAATGTCTCTACTATACAGCCTTCTACCTGAATATATGGGATTTCTCGCAAATTTTGAACGAATTCTTTGGAGCTGCCGAGGTGTGAAAACATAGGTTACCATTAAGATATTTTTTGGTGCAAAATTGAGCTAAATTCAGAACGCATTACATCTTGGCGGCATTGTTGCCGGGCGATGAGGAGTGTCGCAGGAAGGGAGTTGGCGAAGTTGGACGGATGGCCAACACTGCGTAGTCCTTTAATTATTACACAAGTCTGATTTGCCCAGGAAAATTAATGGTTTCGATTTTGCGGAACATAATTACCAAAAATGAGTATCGCATTTTTACCCAAGATCTCAAAAGTTCACTTCAAGACCGTGTAGAGGGTTCGAAGATGATCACATTTTGCCAGTGAATATGTGTGGAAATTCTTGTAACGACGATACACATGTGACGATTGATTCAGATTCTTGGTCAACTCACATTTTCTCGTATTGGGTAGGTCATAATATGATGCATTAAAAAAAGTACTCGTTTATATGCCTAACACCAGTGTACGAGGTGTTGCCTATGCAGTCAAGGGGAATTGTCACATCTGTAACTTTGCTATACTAGTATAAGTAAAAATTTGCTACCTCGTGTTCATTTACAAAAAGTTATTATCTTCGACCACTCTGCAAGCCCCTGAAATTTCTAACACTAAATCTGAACTCCCTGAATTTGGCAATGATTGACAAAAAGAATAATTAAGAATTATAATTGTATATTAACTGGAACAGTCATGGAATTCTAGAATAATTTATTTACTACTTAGAGATATTTGTTTTGGCGTTGTTTTTAGTAAGTTTGTTATTTTTTATTTTCACATTTTTTAGTCGACAAAATAAATATTGTAACTAGTGTAAATAGTGAAGAAAGTGTCATTTCTTTGGTATCAACCTTATTTTTAATTAAAAATACAATGTTAGTAGATCGAGATGCCAAACTTTCAAATAAACACATAATTTCAGAAATGAGACCATGGAAAATTACTGATACTTTCGTTTGGGAACGTTATGAAAAAATCATGGAAAATAAGGGAATGGAAAATACGTCAGCTTTAGAACAGATGTTTCCCTGTTTACACAAATAATGCATTTGCCGTTATCTTTTAAATTAAATCAAATCAATTATATAGCCATGATTTCACAAAAATACTAATATGAAATTTAACAGATTTATTATTAAATGAGAAATCCTGTTTCTTCATGAAAATTATTAATTATTTTTGTAAAAAATCATATGAACATTCTGTACAGGTGGTGCCTTGATCTGTCTGTCAACAGCAGTTTATATTTCACTTTAATTGTCTCACGTAAATCTGACACTCGTTGGTGAATGTGTCGGAATTCTACCATCGTTCAAACGCAACCTGCACTTGTCCGACCTAGGCGAATGAGATAACAGCAATTGCGGACGATAAAAGTCTTTTCTAATCCTTTATATGCATCCAGCACACTCGTAAACAATCTCATAAACTGGTCTACATTGAGAAATACAGGAAGTCGCTGAAGGCCGTAGGAAAGCCCGATGAAAGGTACATGTACAAGTAGTTACTGCGCCACTTTGGAACACGTGTAATTGTCACTATAGCCACGCTGCCGTAGGGGTTACCACCTTCGCCGATTGAAAGATCACCTTCTCTTCCACCTCTCCTGTCACGCCCACAAACACCTTAGGTTGCGTCACTACCGCTGCCACCTGTCGCGGTCTCCTACTTCTGTCGCCACTGCCATTGACTGTAGACCCAATAGCCGCTGACTGCAGGCCACCCTCGCCATTTCTACTTCACTTTCACGGCCTACATCTATTTTAGTATTTACGCATATTACTTTCGCCAGTGCCTCAATCCACATCGTTCCCCAGTGCGGCCACTCGAGTGCTGTCCCCACCGCCTCCACAGTCCACCTCTCGCCTCCGCCGCTGGGGTGGAGGCGTCGGCCTCGTCGGCGGTGGGCGTCGGGGAGCGGCGAGGAACGTTCGCGTCAGCTCGCTCGTGTAATGGAGGCGGGCGTAGCAATATTCGTTGCATTTACGACAGCCGCAATTGCTGACGTGCGCAGCGGCGCGGCCCCGCGGTAGGCGCTCCTTTCAAGGCGACGCGGGCCACCCACACGCTGGCGGCCGCGGCGCTATGCACCTCGCAGCACCTCACGCTGCTTCGGGTGCCCCTATTGCTCGCGTTGAGCACGCAAGGCCTTATTTTGGTTTAACGCTACCAAACTCAAGCGATTCATGTTTGCTTAATAACTCGCGAAAATTTTCTCTCGTATTATTAATCCTCCGTAGTGCTTACATTCTTGTCTTTATTTTACGGTTACATTGCAAGTAAACTTCCTGTTTTGGAATTTGGATTGATTTTCATTCATTTGTTATTTGCAATCTCAAATTCGATGTCATTTCCTTTTAGAAGGGGAGTTCCTATTTGTACTTCACTTCCAACAAACAATATTTTTTGTAGAATGTACAATAAAGTTCAACGATGGAAGTTATTCTTGAAGAAAGTTTTAATTTCATCCAATTTTGAGTATTTAATGTTACTTCTAGATTTTATTACCTACCAACCTCTATTGCACTAAGTCACAGGAAACTTCTTAAAACTGTGGAAACACGGTAGAAATGCTTATCTATTGCTTAAATTGTCTACTTATATTTATCCTTTCTTGTTGCACCCTTCAATTTTGGAACAGTTATAATTTGTGAGGTTTTGTATTAGTGCAACTGTGAAAAAAATGTCAATATTAGAGAAAGAATTGTGGTCAGCAGCAACAAAAAGGCTGAATAACAAAGCCACACAATGGGTTGCACACAAAAACAAATAAAGTACGGTGACTTCAATAAATTTAATATTTTAAAGAAAATACGTCTTCACGAATATTTTAATAACGTAATATAGAATATAATACAGTGCAACACTTATTTACGAACCAAGCATACTAACAGCTGTTACTGTTCCATAACGCAATACGTGAATAGCAGATATTTAATGGTGGGCGGCGTCTTTCTTGTAGTCTTACTGTCGTATGACGTCAGCATTTTGTAAGCAGTGACAGAGTACGCAAATTCGAGAAGTACGAGAATAAGCGGAATATTTGCATTTTTCAGATTTCATTATTTTTGGATTTTTTCCCCTCACATGGCCGGAGACTAGTGAATTTTCTTTCAAATTCTAGGCGCATTGCAAATTAGAGTTATATCCAAGTGCTAATGAAAGATATGGTTGGAAACTCTTATTTAATATCTCTCAGGTAAGAATTAAACCATTAACAGCTCCGTCAAATTGCTTTTTCTGTTATGCCACTGATTCACGTAATTAGTGTTACGATGAAACGATAGAAGAGTTTGCGCTAATTGTTACCACTACACAAAAGCCGTGTACCGCGCACGCCAGAAGCCATCGTTATCACATGCCATATCAGCATCAGACCTCGCACCGCGCGATGAAAACACAAATCCCCGGCGTCCACCGGGCGCCTTGTGATGTTCCTCCGAGCCGACGTGGGCCACCCACACGCCAGCCTGCGACCGCCCCTCCCCTCCCCTCCCCTCCCTTCCCCTCCCCCCGCTCCGGTCGGACTCGCACACCTGAGCGCCCCGAGTGCATCGCATGGCCGCGCCGCGTCGCCCGCATTAAGCAGGGTTAATTGCCGCGGGGAGGGCGGCGGTGAGGGGGCGGGGCAGGGCAGGCCGCCCGGTGCGCGGCGCGGCGCCGATTAATTGCAGCCTTGCTCCTCGCGAGTCGCGCCGCCCCCGCGCTGCCTTGGGTCGCGCTCGGCCCGTGAGTCATCGGCGTCGGCGCGGTTCTCTCAGGCCCGAGACACGACAGCATCCGCCACACGTGGGAAGGAAGGCTATTTATCTCGAGCTGGTGACTTGAGAAGCGAGGGAAATTGTAAGGAAGGTCAAAAGGTATTGGTTGTAGGGCATACACATGTGTGGTGCGAAGTCAAAAATTAATGAAGATAGGGGTTATGTACTGAAAACAGGTAGAAATTTTTATTTTAAATTCTCGAATTTTTCCTTTAAGACCGAGAATAAGAGTATTTTAAACGCAGTTTCCTGATAAATGTACTTCTTTAAGTCAATTTTTAGAAACTATGTTTTGCAACGAATGTGTTAGGATCACGTTGCTATATTACTTGGTAAACGACAAATCACATCTAGAAGCCTATTCTCTTGATATTTACAGCATTGATCGTACAACTTGGGCATGCTATTGGAATTCTGCTCACCAAGCTTACAGAGATCGATACGATATTAGCCATCATTTCTCTGTATGAGTTATCAATTACCCAGATTATTTTACTTAACAAGAACGAAGCAGTTTAAAGTATTCACTGCCACATTATACTGCTTTCATTTACTTCAAGTTGCAGTGTTTCGTACATTTTTGAGCTCGTAATTAAATAATTCATATCTTGCCGCCATTGATGAAAGGAATTTAAACAAATATAAATGTATTTGTCTTGGTCGCACCCTTGAGTACGTTTAGGTTATTTCCGAATTGAGCGCATTGAAGGGCTTTTGTGTTCCCCGCCTGAGAGTTGGTTGTGTGTGCGCAGATGCGCAGCGTGTCGCAGCAGAGCACGCCGTCGAGCGACGAGAGCAACTCGCCCACGGAGCTCAACTCGTACAAGCGGCTCGCCGACAAGCCGCCGCTCATCAAGCGCCTGGCCATGGGGCTGACGGGCGGCGGGGGCCCCGGCGGCGGC